TTTTATTACTATTATTAGTTTATGAAAAACATTTGTTTCTATGTAATATTAAAAGTGTATTTATGAATATATTTGCATTTTAACATATAATATATATTTTTACATTAGATGCAAATAGAGAATCACCAATTGCAGCAGTTCCAACAGAAATAATTGCTGATATTCCCACTCCTTCAGAAACCGTTTTATCAAATAATGTAAGTTATTTTATACTTTTCTATTAACAGTCTCCTAAACATTATATTAAAGTTTCATATATTTTTTGGGCTGCAATTTAAAAATTGCAGTAGGAATTTATAGATCTGCAATTTTAAAATAGCAGATCTATAAATTTCCACTGGCATCCATCTGTTTGTCCTTCTTTACTCTCTTTTCTCTAATTTTAGAAAGTGATTAAAATCTGTTATTAAAAACTTTATTATTCACATTTAATGTAATTTGATTTATATTTAATATTAAAAAATGTAGATTTTTAGGTTAAACTTTACTTTTATGATTGAAATACAATTCTGTTTTTACATGGTAGATATGTTCCTGAAAAAAAACTGTGTAAAAAAAGGTACTGTTAATATGGAAGATTGGTTCAAGACCTCAAAAATCAGTAAAAATAATATAATATAATCAATTAATTTACTATAATAGTGTGTGTTTAAAAAGAAATTTTCATTAATAAATCAGAAGACTGGCAATTTTATCTTATTGACAAAATTTAACAAATTTATTTTTTCACACATTTTATTTTGCATTGCTTTTTCAATTAAACATCAAAAAAATACCTTCTAACTTTTAATATGAAATGGCCTACAGAAAATTATTCTATATTGAAAGGATTGGATTGATGTGATAAGGCAATGCAACACATGGACAGTCTCTCAATTAGGAGACAGTTCTGGGAGGACTTTCTATGGGAAGTTAATCTGTTTAGATATTAGACACATGAAGAAAACCCAGAAAACTTCATGTACCCAGCCCATTTGTCATGTAAGAACAGTGGTCAATGATATTATATACTTGACCTCTGGTGGGCCCTGTATTGATAGGTTTAACAATGATGTCAAGTCTTATGTACCTAGATATACAGGTGTATTCAAAACTATATTGTGAATATGTATATGCCAGTAGTGAACACATTTACTTGAAAACATACTGTAAACTTTGTTAGTTTTCATTTCATTTACAATGTTTGATTATGCCAATAAATTATCAGACATTCTAAATATTTTTGTTTTATTTTAACTTTAAATCTGAAATTTAAGTGACTATATTGTTTTGTAGAAGAATGCATATGGAGAAATGAACTTACTATGCATACAGTAGAGTTTTGGAAACTCAACTCTTGATAACTTGACATTCTATAAAACTTGTCGTCATTAAAAAAATACTTGTAATCTAATTTTTACCCCTGTAACTTAACACTAAGAACAAATAACTTGTTGTTTTTCCCTGGTGACACTTAATTAATAATAGCATCAATTCCATGTGTTAACAAAGAATATAAGCCTTTTATCAAGGTACCACTGTAAAATATCACAATGCAAATGTTACTAACCTGAAAGCCACTGATTAGCCAATATTTTTTAAAATCAAAATTTAATTACATATAGAGACAGTCACTAATGGTACATACATAGTTAATACACACACAGATTTGTACATGTAATATCTGTATGAGAATTCTGTTTAGACTAACATCATTGCTGTTTGTAAAACTTGTTATTTTCAGCAACTCATTACCTTCTCATTCCACATTAAGTTGAGTTGTGGGACTCTACTGTAATAAGCATGATATTTATAATCATTTAATAAATTATTTATACATATATGTAAGTAATTTGAACAAAACAATAATTTATAAAATTTTCCCAATAAAAATGTGGATAACATTAAAGTTGTTTTTTGACCTAGTTTCAAATTTAAAATCTATCAAAAAATTTATATATCTGTTAATATAGTTTACTAGAATTCAAATTCTATCACATATATAGGCTCTGAGCCAAAGATTTTATGATTGATTTTTTTAGAGTAAACAGATGATTCTAGTATTAAAGAAAATATGTATAATAAGATCAAGAAGTATTTATTTCCACATTAATTTCTATCAAAGAAGAGATTAATGTGAAAGTAAATTTATAATTGATATCTTTACAAACAAATATAGAAAAATGATTATTTCTGATGATGATGCTTAATAATAATTATTATGGCTTAAATTAGAAGAAATTAAAATTTGTTACACATATTCTGTGGACAGCCACTATAAATTATCTTTCTTTTCATATTAAGAAATTTATTTGCCTTTCTTCATTAATAAGAAAAATGTGAAAATTCTTTTTTTTTTTTCATTATGTTATGATTATGGTAATTGTTACCACAATAATTTTTCAGTATTTTTTCAAGAAAATTTACTCAATGCTAGTGTGAGAGTGGGATTTTAATCAATTTTGATGTCCATTTCTAACGCAAACATTAAAATAACATCGCAAAATAAAAGGGATTGAATATCGTCCTTGTCAACAACTGTCCAGAACTTATAACAATCTTTTAAGAACGTCAACATTCACCTGTATAAACAGGATCTATCTAATGTTGCAGAAATCTTTGGTTTCTGCAACATTAGATAGATCCTGTTTATACAGGTGAATGTTGACGTTCTTAAAAGATTGTTATAAGTTCTGGACAGTTGTTGACAAGGACGATATTCAATCCCTTTTATTTTGCGATGTTATTTTAATGTTTGCGTTAGAAATGGACATCAAAATTGATTAAAATCCCACTCTCACACTAGCATTGAGTAAATTTTCTTGAAAAAATACTGAAAAATTATTGTGGTAACAATTACCATAATCATAACATAATGAAAAAAAAAAAAGAATTTTCACATTTTTCTTATTAATGAAGAAAGGCAAATAAATTTCTTAATATGAAAAGAAAGATAATTTATAGTGGCTGTCCACAGAATATGTGTAACAAATTTTAATTTCTTCTAATTTAAGCCATAATAATTATTATTAAGCATCATCATCAGAAATAATCATTTTTCTATATTTGTTTGTAAAGATATCAATTATAAATTTACTTTCACATTAATCTCTTCTTTGATAGAAATTAATGTGGAAATAAATACTTCTTGATCTTATTATACATATTTTCTTTAATACTAGAATCATCTGTTTACTCTAAAAAAATCAATCATAAAATCTTTGGCTCAGAGCCTATATATGTGATAGAATTTGAATTCTAGTAAACTATATTAACAGATATATAAATTTTTTGATAGATTTTAAATTTGAAACTAGGTCAAAAAACAACTTTAATGTTATCCACATTTTTATTGGGAAAATTTTATAAATTATTGTTTTGTTCAAATTACTTACATATATGTATAAATAATTTATTAAATGATTATAAATATCATGCTTATTACAGTAGAGTCCCACAACTCAACTTAATGTGGAATGAGAAGGTAATGAGTTGCTGAAAATAACAAGTTTTACAAACAGCAATGATGTTAGTCTAAACAGAATTCTCATACAGATATTACATGTACAAATCTGTGTGTGTATTAACTATGTATGTACCATTAGTGACTGTCTCTATATGTAATTAAATTTTGATTTTAAAAAATATTGGCTAATCAGTGGCTTTCAGGTTAGTAACATTTGCATTGTGATATTTTACAGTGGTACCTTGATAAAAGGCTTATATTCTTTGTTAACACATGGAATTGATGCTATTATTAATTAAGTGTCACCAGGGAAAAACAACAAGTTATTTGTTCTTAGTGTTAAGTTACAGGGGTAAAAATTAGATTACAAGTATTTTTTTAATGACGACAAGTTTTATAGAATGTCAAGTTATCAAGAGTTGAGTTTCCAAAACTCTACTGTATGCATAGTAAGTTCATTTCTCCATATGCATTCTTCTACAAAACAATATAGTCACTTAAATTTCAGATTTAAAGTTAAAATAAAACAAAAATATTTAGAATGTCTGATAATTTATTGGCATAATCAAACATTGTAAATGAAATGAAAACTAACAAAGTTTACAGTATGTTTTCAAGTAAATGTGTTCACTACTGGCATATACATATTCACAATATAGTTTTGAATACACCTGTATATCTAGGTACATAAGACTTGACATCATTGTTAAACCTATCAATACAGGGCCCACCAGAGGTCAAGTATATAATATCATTGACCACTGTTCTTACATGACAAATGGGCTGGGTACATGAAGTTTTCTGGGTTTTCTTCATGTGTCTAATATCTAAACAGATTAACTTCCCATAGAAAGTCCTCCCAGAACTGTCTCCTAATTGAGAGACTGTCCATGTGTTGCATTGCCTTATCACATCAATCCAATCCTTTCAATATAGAATAATTTTCTGTAGGCCATTTCATATTAAAAGTTAGAAGGTATTTTTTTGATGTTTAATTGAAAAAGCAATGCAAAATAAAATGTGTGAAAAAATAAATTTGTTAAATTTTGTCAATAAGATAAAATTGCCAGTCTTCTGATTTATTAATGAAAATTTCTTTTTAAACACACACTATTATAGTAAATTAATTGATTATATTATATTATTTTTACTGATTTTTGAGGTCTTGAACCAATCTTCCATATTAACAGTACCTTTTTTTACACAGTTTTTTTTCAGGAACATATCTACCATGTAAAAACAGAATTGTATTTCAATCATAAAAGTAAAGTTTAACCTAAAAATCTACATTTTTTAATATTAAATATAAATCAAATTACATTAAATGTGAATAATAAAGTTTTTAATAACAGATTTTAATCACTTTCTAAAATTAGAGAAAAGAGAGTAAAGAAGGACAAACAGATGGATGCCAGTGGAAATTTATAGATCTGCTATTTTAAAATTGCAGATCTATAAATTCCTACTGCAATTTTTAAATTGCAGCCCAAAAAATATATGAAACTTTAATATAATGTTTAGGAGACTGTTAATAGAAAAGTATAAAATAACTTACATTATTTGATAAAACGGTTTCTGAAGGAGTGGGAATATCAGCAATTATTTCTGTTGGAACTGCTGCAATTGGTGATTCTCTATTTGCATCTAATGTAAAAATATATATTATATGTTAAAATGCAAATATATTCATAAATACACTTTTAATATTACATAGAAACAAATGTTTTTCATAAACTAATAATAGTAATAAAAAAGCAAAATATGTCAAAAATGCTGCTTACAATTTTCCATATTTGGTAGGGGAAGGAAAAAAAACAATTGCACAGAATCAAACAAAAATTTTTACAAATAAGCCTTGAAATGGCAACTGTCAAAATATAACAACAACATGGTTTAAAATGAAATTGGCAGGTAAAAATACAACAACTAATTCCTCTGGTGGTAAAAAAACGAAATTACTTTCCAAACAATCCAATAATATTTTTTATTACCATGTGTGGTATTTGGCCATAAGTATCCTGTCACTTTTTTCTCTAAAGAAAGATTTTTCAAACTCACATAGGATAGTATTTGTATAATACAGTAGAGCCTCGATTATCTGGCCCCTGATTAACCAACACCTCGGTTAACCGACCGTCCTAGTTGGCAAATTTCAAATGTCCGCTAGTGATGTGGCGCTACAATATTTGGCTATGTCTTGGCTACTTTAATATTATCTTTACGTGTTTTAGCTGGCAACACTCAGTTGACCATGAAAGGGAGCTAGTATTTAAACGAGGCTTATTTTTCTAATTTTTAACGATACAATAGCGACAATTATTATTTTTAAAAATTTTTGTTAGGCTTAACATCGATGAAAATTCAACATGAAGTAGGTTAATAGCGATATACTAATATACTAATTACATGGGATATAATAATATACTACACTAATAATGGATTTTTTCATACTTTTCGGTTATCCGAATTTTCAATTATCCGACCAACCCCAGTCCCTAATTGAGTCGGATAATCGAGGCTCTATTGTATTTTATAAATCTGAAGATGGAGTCTCCAGATTTTCTCATCAAACATCAAATCCATCCAGTTTGGTATACCAACAATTTTTTAATAGTCTATTTGATGACAGTTTCTTCAGAGTTAGAGTATGGCACACATTCCAAAGAGATAGTGTATGAAATTATGTTTTTCAAAAAACTAAGAGTTAGCTTAACAAAACATTTTTGAGGGCATTCTAGATCCAATTCAGATCTAATTGCATATGACAGGATTGACCTCTCTAGACCCAAAAGACAACAAAAGAACAGCTCTATCGAATCACTGTCCTCAAAACAAAAAGGTCCCCAGAAGGGTAGGCCATAGGATCAACTATAAGTAAATAAGAAAGCAGCTAGTTTCTTGCACAGAACCATGTGTCTATTCCTCATCCTTCTCAGAATATCAATCACAGCTTTAATTTTAGAATAAAACCATACCCTTAACCTAAGATATGTAATCTCAGTTGTATACAATAGAATTTCCGAGTTTTACCTTGGAAATGGGAAATACCAATGATATTTTGCACCGATAAGTCAGCCACGTCCAACTCCTTAGACAATAATTTAACTAGGTATTCTTGAATGTCCAATTTGTGTGGAACACTATGGTTAAACAACATCAAATTGCTCCTTTTGGAAGCATTAACCTGTCTATCATAAGCAAGAGTGCAACTCACCAATATTGTCCAAAGGAAATTGATCTTGTTCTTCCAACTTTCTAAAATATGTTTGCATTTATATAAGATCATTCTCAAGTTATTTTTTACCAAGGATGAAGTTGACTAATTAGCCAACTCCAAATTTAGCAAATTTATCTTCAATGCACTTTAACTGTAGCACATTTGCACCCAAAGTTGATTCCAAATACTGTCTTAAGGATAACATTCCCTCTTTATCAATGTCAGGAGGAGACTTCCTCTTAATGTTCTAGCTTTGGACATTTAGCTTCTGGAACACTTTGAGAACGATGATGCTTAGTTCCTTTCTGGTCATTTTTGCTCTGCTTTAGTCCTTCTGGAGAGTTCAAGGAAACATCCAAAAATGAATGACTTGTAACAACACAAAACAAAATACAAGAGTGACAAAGCGTGATAAATAAATACAATTGAAAAAGAAGTTATAATTGCAATAATCCATAATAATAACAGTAACTCAACGCTAAAAGTCACCAGCAACGATGGCTGCTTAGCAGAACCCTCCTACTTTGATAAATTTAGTTTCAGGTATTCAATGCATTTATTAAATCAAATTCAAGTTTATTTTTATTAAATTTAGTACTGTTTTAAAAGAATAATATTTTTTTAAGTTAATTACTTATTTTATTATCAAACTAATGATTTANAAAACTACAAAAATGAAATTGAAATTTAAAAAAATCATCAATTACACTTAAAAACAATAGGACAAAAGTGCATTAACATTTGACAATTAGCAGCAAAAATAATAAAACAGTTAGGATTTGATTACATTTTTCTATTAACTGTAAATGTTTGCAAAAGTGCACAGAAAGCAAAGTTGAGAAGCAGTGTACTAAATTTAAATTATAACTGAAAAACAAAGAAAATTATTATTATTATTATTACAGTGGTGCCTCGTATAACATACTTAATCTGTTCCAGGTGCATGTCCGTTAAGTGAAAAGTCTGTTATATGAAACACATTTTCCCCACAGAAATATCAATACATGTTAAAACATATAATTTGTTCCGCAGCATAAAAATAACCCTACCATAAAAAAAATGAAAATGGAGCAGTTACCAATTATGCCGGGTAATCAGATGTTGTGAGGAGGTGGAGAAACACTTTTTTCGCATATTCATACAGATAGACTTTTTACACATTGCAGCAGGTCTTTTTTATTGTTTTTTAATTGGAGTCAGATTTAGGAGAGGATACCAGAGCTTGCAACGTCAACTCCTTTCGTTCCATCCTTTGTCTTTCGGCAGCTGGCTTCTTGAAAAACATGTCCAAGGTGGTCTGTTTCTCTTTCTTCTTCAACACCTGTTGGAAATGACAGGCAAGGGTGTCATTGCAGAGATCATTGATCCTGTTGGCCTCAGCTCTGTTTGGATAATGAGTGTTGGTAAACTCCTTAACCTCTCCCCATTTGACAAAGAAGTTTTTGTCAACTTTCACTCCTTCTGATGATTTATTGCTTTGTTTCAATTGAAATCAACTTTCTATTTTTTAGAAGCCATGATTTGCACAGCACTTGAATAAATGTAAATACTCTGCACTAAGATGATGTACTGTACGTAATAAACAAAGGAGCAAGCCGAATCCCAACAGGAGCTCTGTACTTCAGATATACTAATAATATATTCTAATAATACTAATATATTATAAAAGTAGCAGATTGTCATTCGCAATGGCAAAAGAGTGGAAACATCATTTGCACTTGTTCGCAGAAAGTCCGTTGTTCGCAGCGTTCGTTATTCAAAGTGTATGTTATACGAGGCACCACTGTATATTCATTGGGGTGGCTTATGGTGAAAGGATATTATGTTCTGGCTTGCATATATTTTTCTCAAGTAGTGTACACTATACAGTATAATAAAATTTTTAATTTATATTCAGAAACATCAGACTAAACTGTTGTTCATTATATAGTACTGGACAAAATATCCAGTTTCCAGAAATATGTAATGACCAGAAAATTGGCCATTTTTGAAACTAGCTGATTTTGAATTTGGCAGGCAATAGTGCAGCTGTAATTTGCAGCATAGACACTTNCGCAAAGCCTTAAGGGGGGTCGCGGGTAAAAGAAAAAGACAAGTGTTTGTAGGTCCTACACTACAATAAATAAAACTACAATTTCAGTGAGAAGGCTTTGCGTTTTTATTTTAAAGTACAATTAGTTTTTCGATCGATATTTATGTCTCAACAGAAAGAAAATTAAATATGTAGTTTTTAAAATCACTGATATAGTTTTAATATAGCCCTGGGAGGGGGTCGCCAGAATTTTTTTAACTTGTAAAGGGGTCGTGTATTCAAGAAGGTTGAAAAACACTGCTGTAAATCAATTGGCAAATGTTTTTAGAGGACTACAAAATCATATTACCCTTTGTATTACTAATGATGGTGGACATGTGGAAACTTAATAAAATACAATAAAACAATAAAAAAAAACACAGATTTTCTTACTTCCAATACAGTCTATTAGTATTTGTGATAGAGAAATTGTGTAAAGTTATAAATTATTTTAATTGCACACGGACTTTATGGACATGCTGTATAGCTATACATGGCCAAAAATTAAGATGCTTGAGTAAAATAATATAATAATAATGATATTATTAAATTTAATTAATGGGAATATATCAAACAAAACTTTAAAGTTATAAATTCAATACAGCTGGAGCTGGTGTAAAACTATTAGTCATATGGAATATGAATTATATAACCACACTTATATAAAAACAAACATGATTTTTTTCCATACTGTATTCTATTTAATTATTTTAGCATCCTATGTAAGTCAAAAAATTTTTTGTTTATGTACAGTACTACGAAATGTTAAAATAAAAAGGTATAGAATTTCATACATTTTTATTTTTTATAGATATATAATATTGTTCAAACAGTCTTAAACACAAATTAAATGAAAATTATATTTTCATTTAATTTGTGTCTGAATTCATTTAATTAATTTTCATTTAATTTGTGTTTAAGACTGTAAAGACTGAAAAGTGTAGAAAAACACTTAATTTAATTTAAAAAACTTTTAAAAATAATTTTGAACTTTTAAATAAGTTTCTCTAATATATATAGTACAGAAACTTTAAAACTCCACTTTAAAACTTTTATATATAAATTATTTCAATAACAAACAAAGTAAAAAATAATAATACTAACCTGATGTTGGAAATTCCTGTTCACCATCAGATGGCAAACGAGTGGGCTGCTGTAGCATATCTCTTATCTTTTCCATAGAAGACTCCATATCTATAGGTACAATAATATTCGAAGAATGTTCACAGTCTGGATTAAAATGACTTTTTTCCGTCAACATTTTTTTACTTCTCTTCTTTAAATTTTGCCACAACATTTTTAACTTAACATGAGATCTTTGCGTAACTTCGGGTAATCTATTATATTCCATAGCTAATTGTTTCCAAGTTTCTTCTTTCATCTTTGAATGTTTCGAATCTGTTTTCTTACATTCTAAAATATTTTTATATTTATTGACCAATTCACAAATATAATCTATTTCACGTTTTGTAAGATTTGGTTGCCTCGCACGTAACTTTCCTGTCGCCATTTTTTCAAGTGTCTTATGTCAACACGTGAGCCTCTAGTGTTATAGTCTGACAAGCATTAAACACTTTACACATATATACAGTACTGTATTGCAGAATTCTTATAAAACAGTAATTCTTAAATATTGGGGTTTACCTTAATAATAAAACTTCTGATAATGGATTCTAATTTTATTTCATTCAAATACACTTTCAACAACAAAATAATAATAAAACATTAAATTAAAAAAAAAATCATTTTAAACGTAGAAAAGCAAACTATTCATAAAAGTTAGAGATTTAAATACAAATACTCAGTCATTTAATTGCGAAAAAATAATAACGTTGAAGAATCATAACGTCATTGGACACATTCAAAATCATTTCATAAGGATAATGCGAATCATTCGAAATTATTTATACACATCAACATATTTTACATGTAAGGACTTATCTACAACAGTCCTATCCAGCATAATAATATTTTTTTAATGGAGTAATAGATAAAAAAAATTATCCATAAATACGGTACAAACACCATTTACACGAGGGTTATTCCTCGCGTAACTTTATATGAGATTATTTGATTATTTGAGATAAACCTTTAAATGATCCCATAGAAATGCATTAAAATTTTTAAAAAATCGAGCAATGAGTCGCTGAATTTTCTCGGTAACATTTCAAACTGTGTGTGGCACAATCTGCTATGATATTTTATTTTTAAAAACTTTTTATATTTTTGATTGTTACAAATGAGGTTAGAGATGAGTTTTGTAAAATTTGTAAATGATAATAACGAGTAAAATCGTCGTTAAGTCCGATACTACTCGAGATATTGCACACGACTCGTCTTCTCCCTATTCGTCGACCTTTAACTGCCAAAATTTAATAGCATCAATTCCCCTAATACACAAACCTCTCTACAAAATTTCAAAAATTTTCGACAAAAAGCACGGGAATTATTAAGCTTCAAAGACGATGAACAAAATCGTGTCCCCAACACATTTCACTAAATCCATACGTATAGAAAAAAAAACCGCGAATTATTTGCATTTCTCGAGTCCAAAAATGTAAAATCTTGGGGTCATTTTTGACCGATCGCCATACTTTCCCTCTGTCACATATAACAGAGCCGGGAAAGTAAAATTCCAAAGGGATAACGTTTCGCGGAAACGAAGCACAATTTTTCGATTCACTTTATGCATACAAATTCAAAATTAGAGAATTTCCAGTAAATAATGTCTGTAACGAAAATTTACAAATTTTTTGTTGTTTACTTTAACTGAAATACCTGTTATACAGATAATTTTCATTATCAGTATAGTACAAAACAAATTTTTTTGTTTTCTTAAAAAGTTTAAAAATATACAGATAATTTATTATCAGTATAGTACAAAGGGAAAAAAATAATAATTAAATCTATCACTCGATCTTTAGATTTCTCCAGATAAAGTAAATAAATACATTTGTTTTTAACAAAATTGAATTAATAGCTATTATTTTTATCCTAATGTGTGTAATAGGATTTACAACTATTTGTCTATTTGTTATACACCACACGATTTTAATAGACAATAAGACAAGAATATTCATTAAAATCGCGTAAAATGATTTCACGGGTAGTCTTGAAACAAATACATATTATAAATTTATTGTAAATATTCTCGCTTCTTGTCCTGGTTAATGCTTCCGGATATAGCCGAATTTGGCTAACTTGCACAGATTTATCACACCTTGTAAACAGAGATGAAACAGAGAGATCAAGTTCAAAAGTATACACTTTATTAGTACGGAAAATGCATTTCGGACTCGTAGGCCTTCATTAGTCCGAATAGTAAGCGTTGATGACTAAATAATTAATAGTACAGAAAATTATTTTTCAGTTAAATAACATTTTAAATTATCAGATATTTAAACCGTACCTATAAAAGGAATTTCTGAGGGGAAGGTCGGTTAGTCCGCTTTACCTAATTTCTAAGTGGAGTGATTCGGAGAAAAAGCCAACAGGCTAGAGTCTCCATATTAATAAGATAAGAAAGAAAGAAAGAAAAGAAAGGTCGGTTAGTATCGGACGGCGGCTAGTATCGGACAAGTGTTGTTTCTAACATTTGCTGCAAATGGCAGAACCTGTGAAGACACCAGCATGTTGTGTGAATAAAGAACGTTCAGATTCCGCCATATTAAGTCAAGAAGCAGAAAATTTGGTTTTTTAAATAGTGTTTTGAGTGAACGAAGATAACTTATTGTTGTCATAGCTTGCCCGAAAATGAGAATAAGTTGTTTTCAACAATAACAAAAAAAACAACATTTATTGTTCTTTAACTTGTAGCCCGGAAATCTCCTTAAACTTACTAATAAGTATGTTGTAACCGATGTTTCGTTCCATGATGTTTCGGGTTGTATCGAACAAAAATGTTGCGGTTTGTATGGACAGAGGTGTTACGGGTTGTATCGGAAACATTTAACGTTGATAAGAATTATATTCTCGCGAAATGTTTTTGTTTTACGGGACAATATGGGTAAACTATGGCAGAAGAAAGGAAAGAAAGAAGAAAAAGAATCTATGCAGCTAAGAGAAAACTGCTGGGGGAAAATCGTCTAAATAAAGAGAGACAAAGAAAGAAAACAGTAAATAGGCCTAAATCAGTTCAAGAAAAGAGAGAAGACTAAGATTCACTGCATCATCTGTGGTGAAACCTTTGAAGAAAACTGGATTTGTGAAGGTTGGGCTCACAAAAATTGCGATGATCTTGAAGGAAACTTGCATAGAAACTTAGAATATAACTTAGAACTTGCATAGAAAATAGAAACTTATGAATTTGAAGTTTGTATTACAAAAAAAAAGTAAACACAGAATGCATTTGTCATTAAAACGAATTGTTAAATTTTCAGACTGATAATTTTTTAATTTTTCTCATTTATACCACTTTCTTATCATGTATTAACTTAGTTTCACGATCTATAATTTGTACATTTATAAATTTATCAAAAATAATTCTGCCTAATAATAAAAAGTTGTTTGTGAAGCCAAAAGTAATTCTCTTCTTGTAGATTTTTCTCATGTCCGATACAACCCTCCCTCCACAAGTAAAATTGATAAAAATGTAATGACTGTGAAAAGTGTTAAAAAATGATTAATATTTTTATCTTAGAAAAATGAGTTTTAACAGGTGTTTTTATAAAACAATGAAGTTTTGTATGGAATGCAATTTAGTCCAATTGAGCTGTAAAAACATTTTATAATATAGAAGCTTGTGTGTCCGATACTACCAGACCTTCCTCTATATATACATAACATGACGAGCTTGCTCTCAACCGAATCATTAACTAAAGACTGTGCATTTACCTGTTTAATATATTTTTAATTTTTATATATAATTTATATTTCAGTTTCATCACTTAACCTACAAGATTGATAGGTCTGCGCAATCAGCCAACCTTGGACTATATCAGGAAGGTAAAATTTATTTGTTTGCAATCAGTTGAACATGTTATTTTTCATTTTTAAATTGTCTAAATAGATAGAATAAGTATATTTATTTTATTAAATTTTTAAATAATTATTTTTAATAGAATTTTTGCAAGCAATTATTTATAAACAATTTTTGTTTCGTTACATTGTGTTGAAACTACAGTACTCCCCGCCTTACAACCAACCTAACTGGTAAAACATTGTTAAGTGCCCAGTCTTATTTCCTAATAAGCTAAATATTATGAAAAATACGTTCCAGAAGTACAGTTTTAACTACAGAGAACGTATTATATACCGTAGTTAAGAACAGCATTTAAAACATTGTTTTATATACAGTACAAAATTCTAGTAATAAAAAAATTTTGAACAGATTGTAACTTGTGTATGTATACTATCGCGTGTTTGCGACTGATCTTTCATATTGTTATTGAAATTAATTATGTAAAAATAATTTCAGATTATATGGGATACATTTCTATTAAATGTCAGAATCAATTACTTCTGTATCAGATTAAATACATTTAAATTAAACAAAGACAGCAATAATGAATATATATATATATATAGAATTTGCCGGTATTATTTTTAAAATTCGAGAATCAGTCATTTCAAATAGGGGACCAAGAAACGGATCAGATCGGGTCGAAGAACTCCAGAACTTTTTCGGACATCTCGACTTCGTCCCTGCCATCCGCCCGCCCTAGTATGGGGCTAACCGAACTCATAATGAAATTGATAATTTAAAAACGACCAATTTTTGTTTATAGGGTGGGAAATAAAAAAAAATATATATAGGCTATATATGCAAGAACAATCAACAATTAGTTTGATAAACCTTTGTTCAACGATAAATCATTCTGCACATTAAAGCAATGAAAATCAATATAAATGAAAATTATAGTAATTAAACTTTATTTTACGATTATAATTAAACTGAACCTGTATTCTCTATAAATACTATGAGATGAATTGAAGCATATGCTGCAGAAAGATCGTATATTACATAATTGGTTGCAGTCTTTACCATTCTGTATTGAAAAATATGGTTAGATCCTTAGGGACGCTAAATTAAAGTGACTTGTCGCTCTGCATAAGCAGGAAATTCTTACCTCTGTTCTAAAACTTCCTTAGTTAACTTGCATAATAAATATTGTGCAATATTTAATACGTTAACGAAAGTTATACATACAACGCTATATATTATTACTTCGAATGTCGGTAGCGCGCTCGTTTACGTTTTCGCGATGCAAAATTTTCCCATTGACTTAACATGGGACGATCTTTGACCCTCCCCCGATATTTCCCGTACTAGGTCGAATTTCAATTAAAATTCTGCCTCCGTAACGAAACGCTATTACTATTATTAACACTTCTAATGTGCAAAATTTTCTTCTAGTCGATCAGGCCATTACTTCATAAAACGTGTTTCAGCGATTTATCAATTTGAATCGCTGCGCGTCAAATTTTAATTACTCTATGAGGCTGTTAAACATGAGTGATCGAAACATACTGCAGAAAGCGTTTGTGTTATTCTTATTTTACTCGTTATAATTAGTCATTTGAGATAAGTTTTCTTTGTACTGTACATCATGTGCTTCAATTGTCAACAAAACCTTCATATTTTAATAGATTTCATTTGAAAACGAAAACAAAGTTCAAAATATATCTACAA